AAAGTATCAAAAACCACTTTAAAACTTTACGTATTCACATAATGAACATAATAAATATATTGACACTTCTTCAAATTATTACAGAAAACTCTTTACATGAAACTGAACAGAATCATCACAGCAGCAGTCAGACCAAGTAACAGGGCTTAATTTGTAAACTGATCCATGCTGGAACGCAAATAGTGGCCGGGGGGGGGATCGTCTCCCCCAGAAAATATTAATACAGTAGATGTGATTTGCTACATTTTGGTGTATTTTAACGGATTGTTAAACATCTACATACTTGTTAAAAAAAAATATATATATATATATATTATTATTATTTTTATTATTTTTAAACATTTTTGCGGACCCCCAAGCACCGGCTTGCGGACCCCAGTGTGAGAACCACTGCTTTAAACTGTTTCATTTATATTTTAGCCACAGCATAAGACAGTGTCTGTCTGTGCTAAGTGATGTGTATTGAGGGAAATGATAAAAAAAATCTAAACCAAAATGCATAACTTTGCAACTAATACAGAGAAGACGACAGATCATCAAGTTTCTACAATCTAAAAAACCTCTAAAATTGAAAGCAAAGTTGACACAGTATGAGCAAACACAGCAAAATAAGTATTTTAGCACTTCAACACTTTGCGTCAGACACCTACTGTATTTACTTTGTAGCTGTTTTCTCAACCAAAGAATGCTTGTTGTTAAACATAACTGTGTGCACCACATTTCAAAGAGCAGTTAACAAGCTGCATTAAAGTTTACCCCATCTTAACTGCATCGCTGATGAAACTTTAGTCATGAAATGACAATGAAGCCTTCAGAACTACCGAATGACTTTAAAGAAAATAAATATTAGGGAAATCGCTTCATCTTGCCACTCAAATGAAGTACTTTTTGTAGGTTTAGTAAATTGTTTTTAGTAATGTATTGCCAGAAACTCAAGTAGTGCTCCTATTTTTTCAGGCTCTAGTGCCATTTGTATAAATGAACCCCAGCTCTCCTGCTGGACAAAAAAATAGTCAAGACTCCCTGCTCATTGCGTTCTTTTATTTGCCCCAATTAGTAATTTTTGACGAAATGGTACTATCAACTGTTTTCCTGAGCAATGGCATTAATTTGAAAATTATGGTATTGCAACAACCTATATGCACCAT